ACTGTAGCATCTAATGCAAATGATTGCATCTCCTAAAACACAGTGCTCCCTCACGACACTGGGACATTGATTTAGAAATTCTGGACAGACAGAAGAGTGCCACCACCCAGTCCGGGAGCACCACTCAGCAAGCTGTAGAGGTCTTCCATCCCAGCATTGATCAAAAGAAATCAGATGACAAAGGAGTCATTTAATTTTTAACGAGTAGAAAACACTGTTCACTGTTCAATTAGGTACAGTAGCTGGGTCAGCATGCATAGGCTGCAAAGGAACAGATAACGGGTTTATTCCAAGCTGAAAAGAAAAGAAAGGAAACACAATGTTTCGGCTGTGGAACCACGTTTGAAGAAGGCTTGAAGAACCACACACCTGAAGAAGACTCCAAAGCTTTAATGTTGTGTTTCCTTTCTTTTTTCAGCATGGAATAAACCTGCTAAAATGATGATTTGTCACCTTCTGCTCTGAGAGACAAAGACAAAACAATATTTGAATTTCATATTAAGCATTCAGTGAGTAACATCAAACTCACTACAACATTTGACAAGATAAGATCTTTTCAGGTGATGTCAGTTTTCTATTTGCTCACATGCAGAACTCAGCTGTCTTAAGCATTGTAATTTAAAGCAAAAGACTGTAAAATATCTGTAGACTGCTGGGAAGGTGCAGTTTAAGCAAAGATTTTTTGGCTCAACCAAGCATTAAGATCTTAGAGTATGAAATAAAACAGTATTCATTTCAGTGTTTTATGAAACACCATGTAGGCTGGTGAAACAAAGACCCTTAACCATATATGGTCAGCAGCAGTGCATTAAGATGTGAATGATCACAATGATTTCTAAATGAAATTTTACAATCTGAAAAGGGTTTCAAGGAAGGGGGTCGCTGCATACACCCCTCCACACTTTTGTATTGAGAATTTCCTTTCATTTAAGTAGATATTAAGCACAACAGATAAATAAAAGAGGAGTTATGTGTAAATGGCATTCATGGGATGAATTTGGAGGATTACTTTTTAGTTTTTTTATATAGCGCCTTTCACAACAAGGTTGCCCCAAAGTGCTTAACAAAGCAAGTGACCATTCATGTTGTGAATACACAACAGAAAAGACCAGAAGACAATGTAGGAGAGGAACCAAAAGCTACTTAGTAAAGAGAAAAAAACTGTCTACTGGCTGCCCAACCCCTTTGGGCATGCGAACATTATACAATTAAAAAAGGAATAAATAAATAAAGGTATTAATCCATCCATCATGTCTTCTGCATGTCAGTACTCCATGCAGATCTCTGTAGACCAGTAAATTCCTCCTAAACAATAGCTATATCCACAATGTCCCTCTTGGATCCATGGCAGTGATGCAGCATCCAACTCAGATGGTGCCCAACCCGGGCACCATCCAGACATGTGGGGAGGTGAATAGGATTGTTTGGTCAGAACAGATGTACCTGTTCCGGTGGGCCAACATAAAGACACACAATGACATGTACAGCAGCACCAGCAGCCATGAGTGCAGCGGGCTATGATGTAAGGTGTGAGTAGGCTAGGCTGAAGTAGTAGGTTTTCAGTCTGGATTTGAATACTGAGATTGACTCAACATCCCAAACATGGGGTGGGAGACTGTTCCATAAGCTAGGGGCCCTGTAACTAAAGGCTTTACCGTCAACTGTTTTTTTTATTAATGCATGGAATATGAAGAAGACCTGCATTCTGTGATCTAAGCGGGCGTCTTGGATTGTATATATTAATAAGTTCCATTATAAAGACGGGTGCCTGACTTCCGAGAGCCTTATGAGTCAGTAGAAGGTTTTTGAAGTCGACCCTGTACCTGACAGGAAGTCAATGGAGAGAGCTCAGTATAGGGGTTATACAGTTCGGTCGTACTTCCTGGTCCTAGTAAAAATTCTAGCTAATGCTGATGACTTGCTGCTTAAAATGGTAGGGCACATTTTAATTTTTGAGTCTCCCAATTGGTGAAGCTTTTCCTGAATATTTAAGTTGTAGTCTGTGCAAAAGAAGCACAACTGTAAAGCTGAACATAATATGTTTTTGTTCCAAGTTTTTTTGGTCATTTTATTTTATTTTTACAAAGGGTTATTCTCAAACAAAATTCACATAAAGCTGATAATTAAATCTGTACATTTAGACTTAAAAGGTGTTCTAAACAAGAACAATATATCTACAACAGTGATTCTACTGCCTATCACAAAGTTTTTAAGACTGCAGTCATTTTTTGTTTGTTCTACCTAACATATCCTCTCACATATGAGGATGTGTTCGTATATGTTTAGATACAGTTATTTTCCAATTCAGTGCCAAATATATATTTAATTTCCCATTTTCTTTTGTATTCTGGGGAGTTATAAAATTAACATTCAGCTAAACTGGAGTCATTTTAGTATACATGCATTATTTCCTATAAGCAAACAAAACAGCTTTTGATTTGTGATGCTATGTAAGCTCTATATAGAATGGTTGAATACAAAATGTTATTACATACATGTATAATTGTATTTTAAACAGTATTTGAAATTCTTTATGAACATGTTTGGGATGCTACAAGACTACAATAATAGCACCTCTACCACTTTGCCTTCTCTCTATAATCAAAGGGCAAAAGCTACAGCAGGTCTTTCAGATACAAAAAAAGAATTGCACATACAGTGTTCTGTTTTCTTATTCTAATTTCATGTGTGTAGCAAAAAGAGACTGTGACTAAACTGATGCCTTAAGAGTATTAAAATATATACTGTACTAAATATGTTACTGTAGCTTTTGATCATCATGGTATCTGCTTGTTCATCTGACTATTTGCTTTCAGTGCAACAGTGGTCTAAGCAACACTGTAAACCAATTTAACTTGGACATAGAAAAAATGTTTCACATAATTAATTAGGAACAAGTAAAGGTTTATTCCATGCTGAAAAGAGAAGAAAAGAAACACACCGTTTTGGTTGCTGAGCCTTCTTTGGGTGTCCACTTGAAGTACATAATTATGTTTGTGTACTTATTTTTTAACTTGGAAAGCCATATATAGAAATACTCCTAGAATGCATGCTATTATTGCCTCCCTATTTTCTTGAAGGATCCATAAATGAGTCTTTTAATGTTTTGTTTAAATAAGCCTCATGATGTTCTATGTACACTTTTCATGTTATGTCTGCTCCATTACCAGAGTAATCTCTCTTGTAATATAAATTTGTCATAAGTGATAACAGGAAATTGAATAGTTATGTTCCGGGATCTAATTTGAATATGTCTAGCTCTAACCAAGTAATAGTGTAATTTCTATACATTTTCTTTTTGAGGAAAAAAGTTTTCTACCAGATATGTAATTATGCACGTTCCATGTAGTTTAGAACAGTGATTTTCCAATTAATATGAGGAAATTACAGTACATTACAGTACAGTACTTCAGATCAAATCTTGTGATTGGTATTCCTCTGGCTTTGCCCAGTAATGCCAATTGAACATTTCAAATGATTGCATGCTTTTGTTTATGTTACAAACTGTTCTAAACCTGTCCTACCTGAAACAAAATGTTTATTTTCCAAGCTCAATCTTCTAACCATTTGTGAGAGCAAAAACAATCAAAACCAAAGTGGATTGTGGGCCAAAACCTTCTATTGTATATTGTTATGTTCCAGTTTGGCAACATCAATATCCCTTTAGAGGCACACACAGTGGATGTGGTAGCATACCAACAAGGGCTTCCATAGAAAAATTACTTGTTGATCTGTAGAATCAACTTTTCCTACATTGAGAATCCAGATATGGCAAGACAATACAAACTTTCACCATGATTAATCCTACATAAATCCAAGTGTACTTTTGCTGTTTTGAATCTGTCACCTAATTAAAGGAGAAAATGGTCTTTCAATAGATGAGCAAGAGTTTGTTGTCATCCTAGGCAGCAGGTGGTCCTCATAGAATGATCCCCAATTTAGGTATTGATACCTGCACTACAACAGTTTATATTGTACCAAGATTTTACAGTTTTGTGTAAAATGTTTAAAAAAGTTGATGATTCCAGTTATGTTTAACAAGGCAGACTATGTACGGTAAACTCTGTAGAATTTGTTTAAAAAGGTAAAATACCCTGTAGCTTACGCTGTTATCCAAACCATGACATGACAAAACAT